GAAGAAAAATCGCCGCCGCAGCAGCTAATACCTGGGCAAAGGGGCAAAAACCAAGTCAAAAGACTTTTCAATATGATCATGGATCTTTTGATTTGCATGGATCTTTCGACAAATCAAAAGATCCCAGATCTCCATCTTGCTTTCATCAAAGCCACCTTGCAATGTAGGGACCCAAACAATTCAAGCGCCACCAGATCCTATATACCAGCTCTGACCGATGTTCAGAAAGGGTTCCTACAAGGCTACCCTTGAGATTCCCTCCGGCCAGCTACCCTCAATTCTTTCTTCCTCTAGGATTTCAATTTCCAATAGTTCTACAACCAGTATCACAATCTTTCTTTTCACTAAAATTCTCATCCTATCAAATCAAAATCCTCATATCTTTCTCTATACAAGTCATGTCTACAGAAGTCAATAATATGCAAGGGTGGATGAATGGTAGTGAGTGTTTTATCTTTGCTCTGGCTCATTAGTTGTACTGATTTCCCCATCTCTCAGTCTTTGAAGACCCCCCTGTCTTACGAAATGGACATGATGCGCCAGCTCGTCAGGCTGGCGATAACTTGCTGGAACGTCCGGGAACTGCAGGCCGTGCTCGATTTGACCTAGCGCATGAAGTGACTGTACGGATCGCTTTCAAGATCAGTTTTGAGGAAACCAAAGAGCAGCCATGTGTCCGTATAGGGGGGACAAAGAAGGCTCCGAAAAAGACGATCAAGACAGTCGATTCCCGACACTTTCACAATGGATCGGGACGTTCCATCAAGACCTGCTTATTTGGCAAGAGCTTAAATGACTTCAAGGCTCTGTGTGGTGACGCAGTCAATGAAATCAAGACTGGAATGAAAGAAGTGGTACTGAACGGTCACCTCGCCCAAGGCTTGATATGGAAGGCAACCATTGGCAAGAAAAAACTACCCCTCGATTCGTTTGAGGATTGGCAGGAGTTTGTGCTTTGCCTCGATCGCTCGAAATCACGCACTGGCGAATTAGATATCTGTAGCCCAAACGAAGCCCAAAAAAAGAAACAAGTTGATAATGTGAGCCGATATTTTCACTCACCTATCAAAACTATATTCATACTAAATTTCCTCACAACTGATCCAGGATGAGGCGGCCGATGGGCTTATTGCAAAGGACACGGCGGGAAAAAAAACATCTCACAATCAAGAATTGATCAAGGAGAACTTGGTGAGGGTACTTGGTTTCATATGTTTTAGCTCACCCCTCTGATCTCTTTGGTTTCCATCATTAGGAACAAAAGAAGATGTTGGCCCGTTATACGGCCTCAAACAAATTAGTTGAACGTTATGGGCAGACCGGCACTGCTGGCGGAGATGGAGCAGTTTTGACATCCCCCTGGGACCCGAACTTCAAATATCGATTCTCTTTTGAAGCGTGCTCTGTATGGGCCAAAGAAATTGTAAGTATTTTACTTTATTCTTGAGTCTGATTCGACTTTTAACATTTCTTACTGTTCCTCATAGGCTGAAGGCCGAGCAACACTTGACATGCCACCCGACTGTCCTGATTACCGCCAATCAATGAAACGCACCAGATTTGATAAGAACACAAGTTCAGCTAAAAGATATCAGATTCATTCGGCTGAATTTCAGCGTCAACGTGAAGCCACTGAAGAATCCCCTTCAACTCGTGGGAAAAAGACCAACTTGGATATGCGATTACCAGCTTTGACCAAAACTCCCAACTCAAAATCACAAATAAAGTTGGCCCCAGGTGAGTTCCTTTGATTTATCATCGAGCAAACTCCTTACTATGCTAATCACAAATGCTATTTACACATCAGGCCGCGAGCATCATCAATCACATATTGACCCGTCATTTTCCAAAAAGAATTTCATTGACCTAGCTGCATCCTCAGATATCGAGGATGAAACCAAAGTGTCTGATGTCCACACTTCTGATGATATCTGGAGCTCAGAGGATATCGAGATCATTACGGGCAGGCCAACACCCTTTGACAAGTTTTTGGCTTCCGCCGGTATCAAACAACCTGTTGATGAAATCAGGAATGTACTTTTTAACGCAGGAATCAAAACCTGGACTGATCTATTACCCTCAATCTCAGTGACCGAATCGTCTGTGATGGCTTTGGGAATTGACAAAATTGCTGCTGGAATGCTACTTGCAGCAGCAAGTGCGCGTCAAGCAAGCATATTGGGTAAGTTGTTTCCCTTATGGCTTAAAATCATTTCGTTGGTGAAAAATATCGGACTGACCATCTCCCACTGATGTTTTCAGCGCGCTTTCAAAAGTCAGTAAAAAAACAATCCTAATTACTTGATGCTATCAAACCCTTTGTGCTGGATAGAGTTCAATTATCTCAAAAATATACAAAACTTGTTTAAATTGGCTCTTTTCGTAGTCCCCTAAAAAGATATCGTAATATCCTACCTTTGAAATCAGAAAAATGTTGGTATTCTTCCCCATCAAAGCCATTGAGCCCAGTCTTGAGAGATCCGTGAGCAAATTGATTAGATCAAGTGAGAAACAATATCCTGAAAACCTAAAACAACTATCGTTCTTTGATTGTTCTCCAAGAACGATAGTCAATCGTTGTTCTTTATTATCAAAATCTTTGAATCTTTGACACGACTATCGTTCTTTGAGAACAATCAAAGAACGATAGTCGATAGTCGTTCACTATTATCGATATATTTGAATGTTGTCAAACTGTGCGTTCTCTTACATAGTTGTTCATTATTATCGATATCTTTGAATCTTTTCAAACTGTGCGTTCTCTTGCATAGTTGTTCATCATTATCGATGTCTTTAAATCTTTGACACGACTATCGTTCTTTGAGAACAATCAAAAATACCGATTAGATTATTTGAATTAATAGAATCACAACTAGGGATTCAAATCAAATGGATGTCATATTTCTTAAAACGAACACCGAAAACAAAATTGAAACCTCTAAGTTGTTCTTCTTTGATGAAGGATCTTTATCATTCTGTAAAGTGGCTCAAGTTGTCTCATTTTAGGCAAGTGTTCAGTGAGGAAGAAATTGGATGAATTGACACAAATAAATTGTAAGATAATTGCTGAATCTTGTTTGTTTGTATTTCAAAACCAGTTCTACTTGATAAACACTCAGCTCACATTGGAATAGAAAGACTTAGACAAATGAAAACCAAGTTAAGAAAAATTCTAAATATAACCACACCCACGGAAAAGAGAGCAAGTGAGTTGTTCAGTAAAATTATTGATGCAGGCCTCCCATATGCAAGCCTGCTCCTCGTCCCTAGTCAAATCCTGATGTAAGACCCCTAACCGTCGCAATCGTGCTTTCAAAGGTGAGAACCCCTTCTCGATGGGGTTGAAGTCAGGACTGTAAGCCGGAAGATAGATAAGTCGGACGCCACGTGCGGCACAGAGTTCAGCAATCCGACCACCGTGATGGATTGGTGCGTTGTCCATCACAAGGACCGAATCACGTGCTGGCCATGCGTTCATGAAAGGTAACTTGACAAGATGAAATAGGAAATCAGTTTACTAGTTGCGGAAAGGCAAAAAAACTAAGCCACAAGCGTACCAAGTGGAATTCCAAATAATCTTCAAATCGGACCCGATTGAAACCACCCTCAATCACTTGGAGTGCAACCAGTCCTGACATTGAGATAGCTGGTAAGATTGTCCAGCGACGAGCTTGAGTGGCACGAGGGAGACGGCGGGTACGCTCGCCAACGGGGGCCCTGGCAAATTCTCGATACAGACGGCGCTTTGAAAGACTACTTTCATCTGCAGCACAAAAGATTTGATTAGCTCGTTGAACCATGGAAAGATTGATGGCAGCTCTTTAACTTACCTGCAAATACTAGACATTGGGGATCTATCCCAAAGATGTTATCAATGTACTCTCCACGAGCAATGGGGCTCTGATTTGGATGTACAGTGCGTGCCTTTTTGCGGGTAAGGCGAAGTCTGGAGTTGAGCTCGGTGCAAAGGGTTTGATTGCAGACATCAAATTGGAATGTTTCGAGAAGTCTTGCCTTCAACTCGTCTAAGTAGAGAGTAGGATCGTGTTCAAGAGATTCAAGGATGAATTGACGCTGAGCATTGTCGAGTCGAGTAGGAGCACCTTGCTCCATCCAGAGATTGGGGTCAGTGACAACTGAGTGTGTTGTCCGGTAGAGTTCGTACCATCTTCGAACGGAAGCGATAGATACCGTGATGCCCAACGTGCGGCAAATTTCGTCGTGTTGCATTCCGCGCAAGACCATGCGGACAATGACCACTTTAAGATCAGGGCTGTAAAGGGGCATTGGAGTGAGATTGTGATGATGAGTGTGATGATTGAAATGGCGGAAAGGGGTGAAAAACGAGGGGGATTGGGGGAGAGAGAAATCAGAAGCTTGCTCGAAGTTGACGGAATCTCTTCAGTACAATGAGATTGTGAAGATGGTGTGCCGCGTAGGGCTTGCAGTAGGGCTTGCAGGGCAGCAGAGCGAAAAACCACACAAAGAAAAAAAAAAGGAAAAATCCGGTCAGAAATAAAAACTATTAGTTTTGCACCTGCGACGACTTTTCAGAAAAAAAAATCATTCTTTGTTGGATCAGCTGTAAGTCCCTCCTCCGCAGGCTCCGAAGGACGCCTGCGAGGAGGAGGGACTTAGTTAAGTTAGCGGATTCACCGGTGACCAATTAGGAGGACTTTGTAAACACGGAAATGAACACGATCCGGCACTCACATGATCCGGCACACCATCCTGGTGCAGCACAGCATCTAAGCGGGGACGCAGCTGTACACCATGGGGGGGTCCTGTGCCCAAAACCCGTCCACCCACGCCCGACAATGGTCGGGTCTTGTTTCCGCCTGCAGACCGCGGATTCGCCCGACAGACTGCGACATCTTAACCGCCCACCCTGCCGGCATCTATCAGGGGTCGCGGGGCCACCAGGAAACCACCGCTGAGCCACACGTGCCGTAGCCGATCTGAAGGTAGCCGGAAGACCGGCTATAGGTCTTTCCCCACCAATGCCTTTTCGTGTGAACTCCACAAACTCTGAAGGCACCGCACCTAATATGCCCACCGACCCTCGTCAGTAATCGCAAATTCATATCTCAAATCCCACCACACCCACAGCTGACGCACGTAACAGATATCGAGTCTGTGTCTTCAGATCCCGCAAACCCCCGTTTTCGATGCAAGGCTTGCTTAGGTCGAGGCATGTCGAATTACGAGCATCACATCAAAACACGCGCGCATCAAGAAAAAGTTCGGAGATTCGAGGCACAATTGGCCGCCGAAGACCAACTGCTCATTGGTTTAGCAGCGAATGGCACCGAGCCGACCACAGAGGCCAACGCAATGATGGCGTCAGGACCCCTATTCGAACCGGATCCGAACCCATTGGACACTCCCTGCGATCCACCATCGCCTATCAGTTATGCTCGATTGCTAGACGCTACCGAGTCTCTTATCGATAGTTTGACGAAACTACCGACTGACGCAGATGATACCAATGGTCATATTCGCTTCGATATGCTACGTCAGGCGCTGGAGACCCTGGACAACCTCGAAGATGAAGAGAATGAGGACGAGGAACTCGAGGATGAGGAAGAGGAAACACGAGACCCAGCTGTTGCCAGAGTCAGAGCGCAAGAGGCCATGGATTGGCACCCGTTCAAAAACAAGGAAGTAAGTCAGATGGATGAACACTGATGAACAACCAGGCACGCACTCAGTAAGAATCTGACCCACTCTCATGTGAAACTGATCTCTCAGCAGGTAGCTGGCTTGCTGATTATCGGGACGACCCGCCACCTTCTCTCTCGGGCGCAATACTTGAGCATACAATCGATCATGCGGATCTTAGATGTCAAGCTCCCAGAATGGGGTACATTGCGGGAACTGAAGGTGCGCCTGAAGAAGAGGCTTGACATTTCATTGTCCGAAAGGAGTAGTCCTTCGGGAACACCTCTATTTGGAATCAGTGTCAAGACACTTATCACAAATGTATGTGTTTAGACTCAGTATCCTTTGCGCGCGCCCCTTGTGACTGACATTGATCTCAGGAGCTGGCGAACCCGTTCGTCATTCCCCATATGGCTTTTGTCCCCGAACTACCTCACGATGGCAAGGTAAACCGGCTGTCTCAGTCACGGAAATGGCGGGAGTTATACGCACCAGAGCTTAGGGTCCAAATGGTAGTGGACAACAATCGACATTTCTATATATACGAACCGGTAGAACTTCAAACAGGCCAGCTGGCTGTTCCCATGTTTTTCTTCAAATCCAACGACAAATTACAAGCCAAGTGTCTACCTGCATTAATTCAAACCAATACGAATGACCCCGATCGCCTCAAGATTGTCATACCTGAAGAACCAGCGTTTGACTCAGATGAATTCTATACGCTTGATGTAGCAGTTTGGCCAAAACTTTTGACGAGATTAGCCTGGACAACGGGGAGTATTTAAGTGAGCTCTGTGGCCCCAATATGTATTGTAAGTGACATGGTCTTCGGTTTGTTCATATTAGTGACCTCATGTATTGACTTTCATCTTTTGGGTAGAATATCGTGACACAGGCGTCGTAACCCACCCACTTGCGAACCCATGGAGGGCCAAAGCCCAGGGTAAAGTGATCCGACATGTGCCTATAACGTTATATTCGGACAATACATCTGGTAATGTATCCAAAAAGTGGAATAAACATATGAGCTTATACTGTACTCTATCAGGTTTGGCACCGGAATGGACCAATCAGCAATTCAACATCCACTTCTTGGCGACGTCCAACAGCGCCAGCGCGCTTGAACTCCTTGATGAAGTTGTAGATGAGATAAAGTAAGGTTGGCTTAGCATTCGCCGACTTGGCATTTGATCGCTAACTATTTGGCCCGTTCTGAAGTGATTATGGCGAGAAAGGATTTGTTGCATACGATGAAGGCCTCGGTGAAGACGTATTGGTAATGGCGTTAGTACTCTGCCATCTTGGGGAGTCCCCAATGCACGCGGAGATTTGCAACACCACAAATCCCGCAAACACTCTCACACCCTGTCGCATGTGTGATTTGAAGGTAGTTCGCAAGATCGACAAAGAAGGTCAGAAGTTTGTCCGCAATTTTTTGGGCCTCAATGCCTTGGGCGAAAAGGTGAGTGACAGACAAAAATAGGCTTGCAATATGATAGCTGACGAATTATGGCAAACAGGCCAGCTTGCCGCGTCGCCAGTGGGACGTCACTCTCGCACGCACACAAGAACTGTGGGATCTCGCTCAAAAGCAACACACGAAGTCCCTGGTGGAGGAAAAGGCCCGAGTGTACAGCCTGCGAGACCCTTACAACAATTACTACGTTCAAAAAGTTCATGTCGCACTAGCAAATCTACCCCCTGCCGATTACAAGACGCTGTGCAATCGCCTTAATCAAGAAAGAGGCCTGAAATTATTTAATCCCATGTTAAGACTCAAAGGTGAGTAGCGATAATCTAAGATGCCACTAATCACGTATGTGTGAGGGTGTCACAATGATTAATGTCTTCTATACCAGGATTTGACGGACACTTAGATACCCCCGTCGAGATTCTGCACGTCGTCCTGTTGGGTATCGTTAAATACCTGTTTCGCAATTTGATGAAGGATCTTATGCCTTCGAAACCTGGAACTGATAAATTCAACAACATCACGGCACGCTGGCGCGCTTTCAGTTCCCGAGGGCTCATGCCACTATCTATCAATTTGTAATGAAAATATACGTGATTTGATTCGAATTTCTTGAGAGTGATCTGATGATCATCACCTGAACAACCTGCCGGTCCCTATGTAAGCAATAAACATAAGGAGTCAGTCATGAAGTCATCAGAGGGACCAAGAACAGTAACATACGATAGGGATCCAAGTGCCGACACAGCCAATTTTTTGCGATGTGTGCTTTGAAACAATCTCTAATTACCTTGTCAAATGCCTCCAGTATGGTCCGGCGAATCACATTGAGGGCACATTGGTCAATGATCAAGTCTACCGCCGTGCGGATGATTGGCCTACTGCCGGTGAGGTATTCCTCGCAACCGGTGATATGCTCAATGGCGAGGCTGCAGGTGTCCACCCACATTAGTCAGTTGGACCCGTCCTCTTCTAAAACGTCCACTTCGTCTACAAGGTCTCGGACTTCTTCAATTTTTTTAAGTATTTGAAGAACAGCATGATAATCATCATATTGGGCGTCTTGAACCGCTCGTTCAACATCGGTCGTGCCTCTGGTGGTCTAATTCGAAAACGGATGGAAATGAAGAAAGCAACACAATTGGGCGAGTGTAACCAATCAAAGGGACAGAACGAATGGAAACATGGGAGGGGCAGTCACGTTAATCAGCGTCATCCATGCGGGACTTGTCTGGTAGATCACACACCATGCTGTTAAAGAATTGGTATCAGATAGGATGCCTGGGACAAGGGTTTGACAAACGCGTGAGGTTGGACTTTGGGGATATACAGACCTCGGCCCTTTTCCGACGTCCATATATCACCCATTTCGTTGAATGTGCACACGAACTCCACAGCTCCCTCCTTCATCTTTGTGTTTGGAAGGTGTGGCGATGGAGCTATGGACCCAAGAGAGTTGGAGCCACCGCCTTACGCGGCATCGCCTTGTGTGGCCTCTTTGCAACCCAACCGATGTCAAGGCCATTTCGCCGAATCAGTTTGAGGTCACCTTGCACACGGGTCTAAACTTCGCCTGACCAATGTCCTCGAAAGTTCGCTGGGCCAGCTTGTTTGGTTACAGCATTGAAGGAGCAATCGCGAAAGCCTTCACATGGCGATTAGCAGGCCTGGCCTGCCACAAGAGCCCCTTTAGCGAAGCCTCTGGGCCTCTTGCGTCTTTGGAACATCACCGAGGTCAAGCCCGTATCCCCAAATCAGGACATGAACGCAGGTCAGTGATGTTTGGATCATGCATTATCGCACCTGTGCATACAGAAAAACACCGAGTCTATGCGAAGATACACAAACCTGTATTGTCGCATGTGATCCGACAGTTTCTCAATAGAATTTCTTAGCCAGATAGTAGGTTCTATCAGGGACCTGAAAAGCTACAAGTCCCTACATTTTCAACGTGGAGACCCAATAAATCTCACCATCTCATATTACCAAGTCACCACCTCATACTTCGAAGTCACCACCTCATATGTAAATCTCACCACCACACCCAAAAGTCACCACCACATCCTTCAATCTCACCACCACACCCTTCAATCTCACCGTCGCACTTTTACCCGCAACCACCTATCATCCAAAGTCACCACCACACTTTTCAATCTCACCGTCCCACCTGTAGCTTGTACATCTCATATGTACAAGTCACCACCATACTCAAAACTCACCACCATACCCAAAAAAATCCACGCACCTCACCAGCACATCACAACACTTTGTCACTCGCTCAATCAATCAATCAACCTCTTCCACTTCTCCACGATCAGAAATCCAACTCCAACAAATCCAACAAACCTACTCCAGTCATTACTCCAACCTCCTTATCACTCGACTCCACCATCCACGTTTTAGTTCACCAAACTCGCATCAACTGCAATCCAACCATCACATCATCTCCACCTCAACATTCACATCTTTCTTCACCCCTTCGATGTTGCAATCAGGACACAAGAGGGCTCAGTCTCCAAACTCATTTCCCAGCAGCTCAGAATCATCTGGGGAGGACCACGCCCCAACTTCGACACGTCGAGGAGGAACTCGCCGAGGACGAGGTGGAGGCCAGACAGGAAGTCAACCCACCCGCCGGCCCAAACGACCTTGCACCAACACCACACAGCTTGCAGCAGATATTCAAACCGACGATCATAATCTTGACAGTGACGTTGAAGATCAAGAAGAAACAAACGAAGTAATCACTCTTCACAACTATCACCAAATAGGATTGAAGTGGGGACCGGCTCGTGCTGAGAATTATTTGACCAACCTCGACACGCCCAAAACAAACCGACCTTCAACAATCGGCCTCTTCGAAGCTCAATCAGTGCAATCAGCCTACAATTTGGACAAGACCATGCTGTGTATCGTACTTAAGTGTAGCCGACAAGTGCTCGACGAGGCCTTGTAAGTCATTTTACACCCCTACAACACTATTGCCCCTTTTCTCACAAACCCACGCAAATTGCCTCATAGACTGGAAGGTCCACTTTCTCGACAACCGAACTCGTATACCAATTATCAGACTTATAGCATAGCCGCCACCACCACCAAAAGTCAGTGGTTTGATTTTCCCCTTTCCAGTCCACGTCTGATCGACAGCAAACGTATTTTATTGTGATAGTGCCACCCACCGGAATTTCTCAGGGCTTCAAGCAGCAAAACAAGACAGTCGGTTCCACTTGGTCAGCCTACGAACCGGAAGAACGCGAGATCTTCACCCCAAGCTTGTTCGAACGTTTGTGTGTTGCCACCAGCGAAGCCTACGCCCTCACCCAGACCCCGCTTGGCATTCCAGGCATCCTTCCTAATATCTCAGCTCCTGAGCCGAATACAAACTCGGGACTTACACCCCTTACGCCAGACGAGGCTGAGCGCTACATACCTGTATTCGAACGTTTAGTTAATTTGAGCAAGGTTTCTCGCGATATGCACCAAGGAAGGCTATGGAGGCATAGCGGGAAAAGTCAAAACAGCACTAGGGAACAGCTTATTAAGCTTGAAGTCAACAGAATTGTGCGACAGGTGAGCAAGTCAATGTGTATCATCATACCATTTCATGAAGGTGTTGACCCAAACAATGTCAATGCAGCTTAAAGTCCTCAACCATCAATTCAATCTACACTTCCATCTCCTACTAGCAAGCTGGAACCCCGCTTCATCAACCCGTCAAGCCCTATTCCAGGACAAGTACACGTCCTGCGCCCGTTGGATGAGATTGCAAAAAAAAAACCACCTCCTAGAATGTCTCACGTTTGAGTCTACAAAGGCTCCAGAACACCTACGCCCACAAGGACCGGCTCAGGCCAAAACTCAATCAGAATCAGCAGCTCGACAAGCAAACGCCAGGGCGCAGCTTGCACAGGAACTGAACAACTTGATAGGTGAGTTAATTTTGTTTGACACGTTTGGAACTTCTGAATCTCGACATTGACCAATAATCTTGTCATTTTTGGTTAAGCTCCTTTCCTCCGCAACGGTTATTTGGGAAAGGGTGATGCACACCCCAAATGCCCAGACCTACAGGCCGCATTCACCAAAAAGGCATTTCGTGGTGATATCCACCTCATGTTCCGCTGCTCAACAGACAGTCGAATCACCGAAGACATGCTTTCGAAGGGCCCTAGCAACCTGACTAATAACAAAGTGGAGGTGTGGCTCGATGAAATTGGCAGCAAAAGGTATACTATTTACAAAGTTCCTACCCCGTTGAAAAACAAACGCTCGAATAAAAAAAGCAGAGCCTCAGACAATATTACACCAGAAGAAGCTGCCCTTGACGACTCGATTGACGCAGAGGGACAATTACTAGCTGAAATCTTTGACCAATAAATAAAAATGATACTCTATATCATCTAAATCGTTCAATGCCAAATGTCCCCATTTTTATATTCATCTTATCTCCTCATTCTCATCAATTTATTTACTTATCTTCTTCTTTTTATGTTCTTGAATGGTTTCCCAACATTCAAAAAGGACCAATGAAACAAGTATTGTATTTTCTTCTCTTAACTAGTTGAGTGGTTTTCACATCCATATGATTTCAACCCCGCACGTTAGTGTACATATGCCTGCCTCTAAATAAACAACTCATGAAATTAATGATATCAATGTCCAATGTTGTTCAACGTTGAAAAAAAAGTGTAAATCATGATATCAATGTCCCATGTTTGATGTTGAAAAAAAAGCAATACATTTCAGTAGACTCGGATCCAAAATCTCTTACGAACATCATTGACTGATTCAAATACACAGCCTATTCTTTCGAGCCTATTGTTTCAAACGACTCATGCCAACTAGTATCAAATAATGTTTCACGCTAGTCATTCTTAATAACACCTGTATGTTTCCAAAACTACTAAGTGTATCCGACTGTACGGAACACTGTACCGACCCATGGAGTCCGAAAACATAATCTAGATATATCTAGAGGCATAGATATATCTCTGGTAGCCTCAAAATCCGGCCAAGTCCAAAGTCCCCCCCCAAACACCTACCAACACCTCACCACCCTCACCACCACTCTCTGCCAGCTCACCACCCACTCACCACCCACTTTTCCCACCACCC